GGCCGGAACCCGCGGCAGCTCCGCTTCCGCTCCAGCACCCTCGGGGCCCGTTGCCTTCGGGCGCGGATCCCGCGGGGCCGCACCGGGAGCGGTGGTGCGGGCCCGAGCTCGGCGGTGCCACCCCTTGGGGTGTGGAGCATGGTCTTAGAAGCCCGGACTGGTTCGGGTAGAAGGGACCTTAAATCTCCTCCAGTTCCAACCCCTGCCACGGGCAGGGACACCTTCCACTCGAGCAGCTTGCTCCGAGCCCCTGTGTCCAACGTGGCCTTGAACACTCTCAAGTGCTGGGGGCACCTGCAGGCGGGACAGCTTCGTGCTGTGACCCCCCCAAGCTGGGCATCGAGTACCAAAGCCTTTAGTGGGGTGGTGCCCGGGGCTGCGCAGAGCTGGCTCTGCCCCTCACCCTTCCTGGGGTGCTGTGGCTGGTTGCTCCTTCCTTTGGGGGCACTCCAAGGAGCAGCCAGCAGCGGAGTCACCAGCCAAGAAGCGGCTGTGGGGTGGTGCTGCTGCTTAGCTACGGCCACATCCCGGCAGCACGTGATCAGATTGGCAATTTAATAGGGAGCCTTTCAGCCCTGCACACACACTCCAGTTCAAGCGCCATTGAAATGGGAACCCGGAGTGCCCATGGCGGGAGCTGACCCCTCCCCATCCGCCACCTCCATTCCCAGGGAATGCGTGATGCTCAGTGCACATGAGAGGGCTCGCTGGGGGCGGGAAGGCGGTAGGCAGGCAAGAGAGGATGCTCGGGGCAGGTACATTTGTTGCTGGGGGCATGGACTGGCTGCGCTGTGAGGAGCTGAGCAGGAGAACACGTGGTGGAGCTCGGGCTGGGACCCCTGGGAAGCCCAAGGAAGACCTGGAACAGCAGTTGGTGACTGCTCCCAGGAAAGATCAGGGTGGTGGAGAAGCATCCCAGGGAGCGTGGAAGCCAGGGAGAGAGACGGTTCTGAGGGTCTGGGGACACAAGAGAGTGGTGGGAGCATCCCATCCCCATCGAGCTGGGGATTGGAGGTGCTGTACAGACAAAGGCTGCATGAAAAGCTTGTGGCCTGTGGATCAGGCCTGGCAAGAGGGACGGGTGCTCCTCGGGCTTTCTGGGAATGCTCAGGATCCAGAGGGTGCAAACACCAAAAGCAGCCAAGAGACACCCCGGGGGATGCAAACACCAAAAGCAGCCAAGAGACACCCCGGGGCTGGGATCCCTTTTCCAGGCAAGGTTCAAAAGGAAAACACAAGGAAGGGGTGGCTTTTTTTTTCCTCCGTGCTTGCTTATCCCTCTTTGCTAGGCAAAGGAATTGCCTGGCACAGAAGGGAAACGATGTTTTCTTTCCCCTGGTGCTATTGCCTGTTCAGATGGTACCCACTGGGGTGGATGTATCTGGCCTCCTCTGTACCTGGGATGTGCTGGCATTCCCACATCCCTCTACCTTGGGAGAATCACAGTCTTTATAAGCTCCCCAGTGCTTGCTGTTGCTTCTAAAAAGCTGGTGGCACTGTCTGGCTTCAAGTGGCTTTTACATAATACAGACTGTCAGGCCAGATGATCATCACGGTCCCCTCTGGCCCTCAAATCTCTGAATCTAAAAATGAGAGGGCACCAGCACCTACCTCCTTGCTTCTGGCTGATTGAATCCGGGGCATCACGTGTTCTCTTTATCCTCTCCTTTTCTCTCTCCCCTCCCTGCATCATCTTTAACTGAAGGTGCATTCTCCTTCCCCTGGTGCCCGGGGCTGGCAAATAACGTCGGAAGGAGCAGACCTCTCCAGCCTCGCGCTGGGATATTCTCCTCCCCAATCGCAGTGCTTCACTGGTGGGATCAGGGGTGCTCGGGCTTGGAGATGGCTGGATGGAAAACAGTGCTGAGCTCTCCCGGTTGCTTTAAAAAAAGCAACTGAAGTTCTCCTGGCTCCAGAGTGAGCTCTTTTGGGAGCCGCCGGAAGGGACCCGACCAGGCACGCTCCCCCACGCGCACACTCGGGTGCTGCACGCGTGTTCTCACGCGCAGGCACGTACGTGTGCGAGCACACACACCTGGGGGAAGAGCTTCAACGGCTCCGGCTGTTAACGGCCCTCCCAGTGCTACAACTGCCCGGGATTAATGTGATGAATTTTAAAGTCTAGAGGCGTCGACTAGGGAATCCGTCCTTTGAATCTCAAGTGTTCCAGAGTCTGAGCTATCGTGGTGCTGTATCTTCTGATACTCGCCTCTCCTCCCTCATAAGTAGCAGTCTCCTTTTGAGTTGTCAGAAAAGGTAATCCAAACGTCATTTCATAAGGAGATATCCCTAAAGCCCATCTGGGTTGTGTTCGAACTCGTAAAAATGCTAAAGGCAAACACTTTAGCCAGGACATTTGGGTCTCAATCATTAGTTTAGTTAACGTTTGTTTCAAGGTTTGATTAATTTTTCCACTCCTCCCGAGCTTTGAGGATGCCGTGGGGTGTGCAATTCCCATTTTATCCCCAAGGCTGGGGTTACTTGGTGTTCAAATTTTGATGTAAAATGTGTTCCCCTATCTGAGTCAATTCTGCTACTCATCCCATATCTAGGGATAATTAGTTCCAAAAGTTTTGGATACTGTATTTGCTGTAGCCCTGACAACGGGAATTTCTTCCACTCAATGAGTTAAGTGATCTACTATTTCTAATAGCAACTTGCACCTCTGCACAGGAGGGAGTTCAGTGAAATCTATTTGGATGCTTTCAAATGGCCGCATCACCACTTCACGTCCCCTGGAGGTAGTTTTTCTCGTAAGCTTTTTATTCACTCTTTGGCAAGTCATGCATTTATCAGTCTTTTGTTTCGCTAACCCCAAAATCCCGATGCATCCATACTCCCTTAAAAAGTGGCCACACAGGGCCTGTGTGCCCCAGTGAGTCTTTTGATGTATGCTTCCAAATATCTGTCTGGTCAAGGGTTTATTAAGGAGTTGCCTCCCATCAGGGAGTTTCCATTTCCCATGTAGATCCTGTTCTCCCCCTATTTTACTCAACTCTTTCTCTTCTGACTCACTGGATTTTGGAATCTCCAGTTCCTCTTCCTCAGGTAACAGAACCAACATGATTCTCTCCATTCCGTTTACTGCTGCATCTCTAGCTTCTTGGACTGTCGAATTATTTCCAGATCCAGGTTACCCAGTCCGTGTCTCATTCACACGTTTAGTGGGGCCACTAAATCCTGTTATCTCACCACAGACTTACAACACATTGTTCTTTAAAACTCAAGATACTTTGGAAGACTAGTGTGAAACAATTAACTCATCTTTAGTGGGGCCACTACATTCCACAGACTTACAACATAAACATTGTTCTCTTTCTACAACCTAAGTTAAGATAAAAAGTACTTTATGTTTTCCAGGCACCAGCTTTTCTTATATCAATCCCCGCAACCACCCCCCCCCCCCACGTCTTTCTTTTACAGATTGTTTTGCTATGTGACTCCGTTTCGCTCAAGAGTTCTGGCCCTTTTTAACTTGTTGTCTAATCTTGTGTCTTTAGCGAGCTTTGTGTCTGTTACTGTAAACTGGTACAGTTATCCCCACATAACCACACCTATGATTTGCGAAAGCCAATACATCTATGTGTTTATCACGTTTGCGTGCACACACACAGAGGCTCAGACACACGCAGGCGTGCGTCCATCAACTCACAGGACACGGGCAGAACGAACAACCCAACAGTTTTATTGGTGACTTCGAAGAACTTCTATCCTGCTCCATGAATAAGGAGCATCACGCTGGGGCTCAGGGCGCTTGTGGCGCAAGCAAAAGCCATTTGTCCTCTGCTGACACATGGGCACCAGGAACCCCTGACCAGCTTCTGGGATCTCTGAAGTGACAGCAAGGACATAACAGCAATGTCACAAAAGCCATTGGGGAGGCAGTTGGAAGTGAGTGAGCATTAAGCTCCCTCCCAACCCAAACCACTCGGTGAGTTTATGATTCTATGAACATCAAGGAAATAAGAGCTGGGAAATAATAGCCGAGAAAATAACAGCAAGGAAATAGCATCTAAGGATATAGCCAAGGAAGCAACATGAAGGAAACCCTCAGCAGTTCCTACACGGAACAAGAGCTGAACTCGGCACCAGCACTGCCACCATCACATTTACCTTATGTCAGAGTCTACCTCTTCCAAATCTGACTCCTCCTCCCGAGCATCAAGCTGAGCCAGGGCCGCCTCCTGCGGGGCAGGGATTAGAGAGGTGAGAAGCAGGCAAGGGGCAGGGACCGAGTAGAGGGACAAAGCTGGCGCCTGCTCCTGCCCTTGCCTGCTCCTTGTCCCTGTCCTTGTCCTTGCTCCTGCTCCAGCACTTGGGCTGCAGCTTCTGAAAGCACCTGGAAACAGGGAGGAGCAGGAGGATGAGAAGCAAAGGATGAACCCCTCCAGTGCTGGAGGAGTTGGGGGGCTCTGGGCAGGGCTGGGTGCTGCTGGAGCAGAGCCTGCTGGGGCGGGGCAGGGCAGGGCAGGGCAGGAGTTACCGCTTCAGGCTCCATCTGCTGCTGCCTTGGGAATCCTCGGCACGTTTCTTGGCACAAAGCTGGTGACAGAGAGACAGAGACTCGGAACATGGAGGTTTCCACATGGAATTCTGCAGCACAGGGGAGCCGGAAGGTTCTTCCTCCAGCCCAGTGCCGTCTACACACATGCAAGGCTGTGCCAGCAGCCACGCCTTTAAGAAGAGCCCCCCCTGCCTCCCTGCCCAGCTCCCCGCTGCTCCCTGCCTCTGGAATGACCCAGAGTTCTCCTCAGCGTTGTTAATTTCTGCCTTTCTCCTCTGCACAGAGCTCTGCAGGCTCCCCGCCCCACCCCTTCAACCACCGCCTGCAACACGCGCCATGCCTTCTGAAGACATGAAAGCTCATTTGTCTATTTGGAGGAGAAGGCCCCCAAAGGGAGGTTCAAACTCCGCAGCAACGATTGGGCCCCTGCCCTGTGCCCGGGCACGGCCCCGACACGCCAGAGCCGCAGCACCATGCAGAAAGGCTGGGTATGGGCTCAGGGCAGGGAGCAGGGGCATTGCTGCACGGCTGGAAGCAACGGGTGCTGCAACAGAGCAAGGCCAGGCCAGGAGTTGGGGAGGGGATGCTTGGGGCGAGGGACTGCAGGCTGGAGCCTGGTAGGGGGTGATGGCAGAGGCTGTGATGAGAGGGAGCTGCAGCCCCCCTCAAGGAAGGAGCTGCTGGGAAGATGCACAGCAGAGCTGGGGACAGACCCTGGCAGGAGCCAGGACAAGCTGCTCCCAAAAGCTCTGAACACCTCCAAGCTCCAGGGTGGGGTACCACAATGAGCTCCAAGTCTGGGAAGACATCTCTTGTGCTCGCCAGCACATCCACAGGCATCCGCAGCAGCACCCGGGCCCCATGAGCACTGTGGGAGCAACCCCCCCCCCGCCCCTGTGCTCTCCAGCCCCAGGGTTTGGCTGGCAGCGCTCTGACAAACGAGTCCTTGGCTCACCTTGAAACAGCACTGCACCAGGAGAGCAACGGACGTGATGAAGGTCAGTAACAACGAGAGGGCCAGCGGCAGCCAGCGGTCATAGGTGTGATTGGCCATCTCCTGGGAGAAAAGGAGAGTGCATCAGGGAGGAGAGGAGCGGGGAGGGAAGGGAGGCCCCTTCCATACCCCACTGCCCAGACACACACATGCAGCCATGCCCCGTTCTCTCCTACCGTCTCTGCAGATTCACTGCCCATCTCCCTGGCCTGGACTTGGGCATGGGGACGAGAGGTGCCGGCATCCTCCTCCCGCACACACTGCTCAAGGAGGTCAGAGGGCTCCGGGTCACGCTGCCTCTCACTCAGCAGCCTCAGGAGCAGCTCCGTCCTCGAGACCATCTCGGCGCAGGCCTGCTGGAGCTGGGGCAGGCCACAGTCCTTGCGCAGGGCTCGAGCCACCTGTGCCATGAACCTGCGCAGGGCTCCATCTGTCACCAGAGAGTGTAGGTGGCGGCTGAGCAGGGTGTCAAAGGGGGGTCCTCGTGTGGCCGCACCGCCCGGGGCGCTGGAGCTGCCCTGTGCCCTTGGGCTCGGGGGTTCCTGCTCCTTGTGCTGCCCGTGTGTGGTGGTGCTTGCAGGGGCGGTGGGTGGTCTCCCGCCGAGAGAGGAACGCTCTGCTGCAGCCGTGTCCTCTGGTGTGCTGTTGGCAGCAGGGGGGCCGTTTTTAGCCACCAGAGCATAGAAGAAACGCTGGATAGTGCTCAGTCTCTGCTCTGCTCTACCCTCTGCTGCTGCGGGCTCTTCTTCTGCACCCTCGCTGCCCACTGTCCCATCGCTGTCCTGCTGCTTCTGCTCCTCATCTGTCCCAGCAGAGTCCTGTGTTGGGGATGGTGCTTCCTCCTCATTTTCTGCACTATCCTCATTCTCCATCCTATCAGGCGTGTTGGTCTGCCCCATGGCGTGGGAATGATCCTGACTCTCGCCAGACCGGTCGAGATTTGGGTCCTCTGTTGGGTATTGTGCAGGGGGCTGTGCTGCAGGAGGGCTGGGTATTCTCTGGTGACTAGAGACTGGGAGGACGTCGCTGAGGTTCATGCTCCGCTCTGCTTCCCATAAGATGGACTCTGCGCGGGTCAAGCCTAAGCCCGGCTCCTGTTGCTGCCAGTTTATGGCTCTTCCTCCCTCCCCTACTGCCACCTCGTGCCCCTTGTCCCTCTGCGCTGGCCGGGCTGTGCTGGGGCTTTTCACAGTCAGGATGCTCATGGCCTTGTGCAGCTTGTTCTTTAGCTGTGCCACGAGCCCCTCTGCTAGGAAATAGAGCCTCCTGGTGTCGATAGAGCTGCTCCAGCCCCCGTGCTGAATGCTCCGCAGCATCAGCGTCAGCTCCTTGGCGGTGTTGCCCTCCTGCCTCGAGAGCTGCTGAGGGGAAGGTGCTGATGCATCGGGGCTGCTCAGGCTCCGGGCAACTGTGAGCGTGACGGTTCTCTGCTCCCTGAGTGAAGGCTCCTTAGGCTGGAGATTCAACACGGACCTGTTGTTCCCTTTCTTGGGGGGCACCGGTCCCATTAGGAGCCCTGGTGTCTCTGCCAGGGGAGCTGTAACACACCAAGAGCACTTCAGTGACAAAGAGCTTTCTGCCAGACACAGGCTCAGAAGGTTCACTATAGCTGGGGGACATGGGCAGGGCTGTGGGCCAGTTACCGCAGCGGGGAACAGTGCTGTTGCACACGCTCATGCAGTCGAAGCTGAGGGTCCTGCACGGGGTCTCAGTGCTGTGCTTGTGCTGGCAGAGGCAGCAGGCCGTGTCGATGGGCAGCTTGCTAAAGAACAGAGGTTGTGCACAAACACTCAGCATCGCGACCCAGGGCAGCGACTCCAACCCAGGTGGCGCACAGAAACGCCTCAGGGGTCTGCTTCAGTGTCTGCTGCAGCTCTGGGAAACTTCCCCTCGCTCCCTGTGTCCCAATGGACACTTTTGTGGTGCTGGGTTTGTTCCCCACACAGACCCTCTGTCCCAGCAGCTGGGATCTGCTGGAGGTGGGAGCCAGCCACCGCACACTCACAGTGTTTCCAAGCGGGATGTTCTCAGGAGCAGCATGAGCAGCGTCTGCCGAGTCACTCGTGTGGCACCCAGGTCCCTGCAAGGGTTTCAAGAAACACATTACATTTGAGGTGGCGGCACCAGCCTCTGCTCCGGGAACAAGCCCAGTCCCTGCGGCTTGCTGTGCCGGCCGCAGGGGGGGATCTGCTGCTACCTAATCCAGGAGAAAAGACGGAAAACCGTCTCTCCTTCCTGCTGTGCCCTGCTCCCACCCATGGGTCTGAACCAGAAGGGATCCTGCAGATCCCATGGGAGATGGATGCAGACAAGTTCGAGTCCGTGTCGCAGCTCCGTGCTGGCTTTGCAGACGGGACACACCAGGACTGCTCAGCCTTTGTCTGGCTCTGCCGCTGCCTCCAGCAGGAGAAGGGTGGGATTTGCTGCTGGATCTCTGCTTTCCTGGCCACGGGGCACCCAGAGACACAAAGAAAGATCCACGGTAAGCCGTTAACAAGGAGTCCGTACTTACAGGTGAGTGACTGAAGGCAGCTTGAAGAACCACGTGTCCTCGATAACAGACAGGGGGTTATGGCGCAGGACCCTGAAATGAACCAACACCCCATGTGAGCGGGGGGTGCAGGATGAGAGCGGTGGCAGGGGCTCAGTGCTGCGTGTGTGAGGAAGGGCCTGGGGTGAAGGTTCCGAGCCTGAGCTGAAGGTTACAAGCTGGGGTAGATGCTGATGGGCAGATTCACAACATACATCAGGTCCTGACTATCTCCAGCCCAGAGAGCGAAAGCCCAGAAGTGCTGCTTCTGGAAAACACAACATCTCTTTCTTTCCTCCTCAGCTCACACCTTCTGGTGGCTTCCCTCCAACAGGACTTTCCCTATTTCTCACATTCCCACTGTCCCTGAGCGTTGTCTCTGGTCCTGCACCCAGCCAGGCAAAGGCGTGGCCTGACAGAGTTGTCATTCAGCATTGATGCTGCTGCCTACAGGGGGTAAGAGGTGAGCAGAACACAGTGACAAGTGCCACTGCTCTGAGCTACCCTTAGCCCTTGGAACACTCACAGCGTCTGGAGGAACTGCATCCCGTGCCATGCCCGGAAGGTGTCGCTCCGGATCTGGGTGATGAGATTTCCCTCCAGGCCTCTGGGGAAACAGGAGACCACAGAAATGAAGACCACAGGAAGCTGGAGAGAAGCAGCACTGATTTGTAGGAAACAGCCCCATCCAAGGTGGAACTGGGGGGAAACTGCCATTTTCTCTCCTGCTGTTTGTTAACCTGTCCAGGAGAGGAGATGAAGTGCATGCGTGCTGCATCTCTGCCTGCTCCAGGACACAGCAAGACTCAAGACACAGCTTCTATTCCTGCTGTGTTTGCAGAAGCCATGGCCCCATCCTGGCATGGCCACCAGCCACTCCCTGAGCTCCTGAGCTCGGCTGCTCCTTCAGCAGGAGAAACCGGAGGCCTTCTTCTAAAAATAACGAGCTTTTTCCAGCACCAGAAGGTTCTAAATGCAACCATGCTTCACCAACCACACCAGGAAGGAACTCCCATAACTCACATGGTCTCCAGGAAAGGAAGGTTCTCAAAAGCACGTGCCTCGATCAACTGGATTTTGTTGTAAGATAAATCCCTGTTAACAGGAGAACACAAAACGCTGGTGACATTTGCACTGTCCCGGTTCCTCTCAGGTGCTTTGACATTGGCGGCACAGACGTGCCATCGCTCTCATTTCACGTGGGGTTTCTCTCCTGCACTGGCTTGCAGTGGTGTGTAAACGGAGGTCATGCTCCTGACGGGGGTGGCTGCAGCTCAGAGAGGTTCTCCCAGCTCTGATCCCACCAGGGGTATTTCAGGGCTGATTTTCCTCTCTGGTAACAGAGCAGGTCCTTTACGCACGCCCCAAGAACACCTCTTGTGTGCGGCCTCAGGGACAGGCTGTAACGCCCTATGTGACCAAAATGGGGCTATTTCCCTTAGCTCCTAAACGTCACCTCCCTGCGCAGCCCTGCTCTGATGTGCGCAGGAGTCCTCTGGCCTGGCTCTAGAAACCAAAAGGTTCCTTGTCCCAGCCTGAACTCACTGCCTGGGGGGCTTGTTCTGCAGCAAACAAGGAGAGAGGAACCTTTGTGGGGAGTGTTTCATGGCCTGCTCAGCCAGAGTCCCCACCCCATCGTGAGGGTGAATGGAAAGTGCCTGCCCCTCTCCACGGGCGATGAAGCTGCACCATGAGCTCACTCCAAGGCAGCTCTGGGGCATCCGAGCTGAGAGGAGACGAATGCACAAGGTTTGCCCTGGAGGAGGCGGCCTCGTGCAGGTCTGTGCAGGGAAAGGGCAGCAGCCACCTGCTCCTGCTCGGCCGTGGGGCAATGGGAGTGCAGCGCGTCCCTGCGGAGCCCGCCCCTGCACCAAGACCCTGCTCTGCTCTGGCTGCAGCCGGGATACCCGCAGGAATAAAGCCCTTCCTGGGGCGAACTGTAGAGCAGCAGGGCCAGGGCAGGGGGGAGGCCGTGCCCACCACCATGGGCAGGGGGGTACTTACAGGTGCCTCAGCAGGAGCAGTCCCCCCAGCGAGCGCCTCTTCACCGCCAGCAGGTTGTTGTGCTGGAGGACTCTGCAAGAGACAGATGAACACGAACGGTGGCACCCGCGGCTCTCGGGTGCAATGGAGCTGTCAGGGGAGCAACCCTGCAGCAGTGTCACTGCGGCATCTCTCCGGGTCCCGCCACGACTCATCACGCTCATGGCAGGAGCAGGGGCTTGCTCCCAGCCTGCTGACCCTGACTGCAGCCCGAGCACGGGTTCCACAGGCCCAGGGATGGCCCCGGTTGGCAGGAGGTACACAGCCCAGGGCCCTGCTCGCCACGGAACAGCTCTGGGGACTCACACAGCTCCTTGCTGAGCAGCTCGGCCTTGGCTGCACGTGGCAAGCACTGGTGCGGTGCTCGGCACAGCCTCAGCTCGGCAGCTCGGCGGAGGGATGGGGATCCCGGAACCCCTGTGCCATGTCCGATACCGGTGGATACTCACAGCTTCTCAGCCCACAGGTATCCCTTCCACGGCTGAGGGCGAATGAGGGCGAGCGCGTTCCCAGTGAAATCCCTGCGGAGAAGCCATTGGCAGCGTCACCCCCAGCACAAACCCTTCCCCTGCCCCAGGGCTGCGGGGTGGCCGTGAGGCCGGCCTGGAGCTGCCCCCTCGGCGCTGCCCATCAGCCCTCCACAGGCAGCGTGTCCCTGGAGCCGCTCTCGGGGTGTCCGGGGCAGCGCCCGGAGCTGCAGGGCACTCACAGCACGGAGAAGGGCCGTTGGGGGGTGGCCAGGGGCACGCGGGCCAGGGCAGCGCTGCTGCAGTCCAGGCGGCGCCCGCGGCAGCGGCAGGGCCCCGGGCAGGGCCCCAGGGGCCGGGCCAGGCCGGGGGCCAGGCCCAGCAGCAGCAGCAGCAGCAGCAGCGGTGCCATAGCGACACAGGGCCTGAGCGCCTTTGGTACCACACGAGGCTCAAGGCTGGGGATCCAAACCAGGAGCTCTCGTCTGCGACCAGCAGCGGATCTGGCGCTGTGCTGGCCCTGCTGGGCAGATACAGCCCGGGACACCTCACACCTCACAATGGGGCCTCGCCGCAGGAGTTGCATCGGCCGGGCCTGCGAGCGTGCGTCCCCACTGTGACATGGGACAATCCCCTGCCGTTGGAGCTGGTCGCTCTGCCCCACCTGGGGCGTGTTACAGACCAGCACATCTACGCGTGCAGCACGTGTGCGTTCAGTACGTGTTTGTGCAGTCTGTGCGCGTCTGCCACGCGTGTGTGCTGGGTGCTCTCTGAAGGCAAGGGAAATCGGCTCGTCCCAGAACGATGTGTCCTCACTGGAAAAGCTTGACTCGGATCTGGCATCACTGAAAGGACAGCAGGGACGTAACAGCAATGACATAACAGCCGTTGGGGAGGGGGTTGGAACTGCATGAACTGAAGGCGGGGCCTTCATCGCCTCCTTCACACTTACGACCACCTTGTACAAGCCTGACACCTCACCAGCAGTGGACTGAGCCAGGGCCACCTCCCCGCGGGGCAGGGATAGGAGCGGTGGGAAGCAGGCATGGGGCAGGGAGCAGGCAGAGAGGCGGAGCTGTTGCCTGCTCCTGCCCGTACCTCATCCTCGTCCCTGTCTGTGTCCTTGCTCCTGCTGCACCACTTGGGCCAGACTCAGGGGCTAAGACTCAGAGGCTGAGACTCTGTGGCTGAAACGGTGGCTGAGACTCTGGGCCTCAGGCTTTGGAGCTGATACTCTCAGACTCAGACTCTGCGGCTGAGACTGCTGCTGAAAGTCTATGGCTAACACTCTGGGGTTCAGACTTTGGGGCTCAGACTGGGGCTGAGACTCTGTGGCTCTGACTCCGGGTCTCAGACTTTGAATGTCAGACTCTGTGACAGAGACTGTAATATAGACTCTGTGGCTGAGACTGTAGCTGAGACTCTGGTGCTCAGGTTTTGGAGCTGAGACTCTCAGCCTCAGACCCTGTGGCTGAGACTGTTGCTGAGACCGTGGGGCTGGGTCTCTGGGGCTGAGACTGTGGGGATGAGACTCTGTGGCTGAGACTGTGGGGCTAAGACTGTGGGGCTGTGTGGGGGTCGGAATGTATCAAAACTGTCAGAGACCATGGGAAGGAGGAACTACAGCAGGCAATTAAGAGCGACCCGTCCCTGACTGGTACTTGGAAGTTGTTGGAACTGGCAAGGAACAAGGATGTCGGAACTGGAAAGAGGGGAGTGCGCATGCTTTTGGAGGAGCAACCCCCATGCACCTCAGCTGAATAAAGCATACCTACTTTACAACTCTAAGGAGTTGGAGTCAATCCACGTATCACTTTCACCTGATGTAACCGCAAGGCAAACACAGATGTGCTCTGCTAATTGCTTGGAAGTATATAAATATTGGGTAACCTCTTCCCAGAGTCTCCCTGGTGATGCCTCCATGCATGACAGGCTGATAGTCCATAAACACTCAGGTAACGCCCCTGCCCTGCTTGCACCCATTACCCCCTTCTTTCCTCCCATGCCCACCACTTACTGAGGACTTCCAGCAGGATTTTCAGGCTCTCCCTGTCTCCCATGTTGACAGTTGCTTTGTAGATGCCACTGTCACTTTCCTGGACACGCTCCTCCAGCAGGAGAGATCCATCGGATGGACGGAAAACAGCTCGTCCTGCGTAGGGTGCGTGGATGGCTGGGCTGTGGGATCCCTTGTAGTACTGCAGGACGGTGTGGGAGCTGGCACCACTGAGGTATTCCCACTGCACGGAGTACACCTGCGTGTTGTTACCCAGCCCAGGAAGCAGCACTGGGGATCCCACAGCAGCAACTTTACTCTTGAGGGTTCCAAGATTTCTGCAGCCTGTTGCAAAGGCACCAGCAGCCCTGGAGGGCAGGAGAAGAGATGAGCAGGGGAGATGGAGCAAGTTGGCATGGCTGGAGAGAGGCTTTTTTACCCAGATGCCAGGGGCACACACATGGTACGTGGACTACTTACTTGGTCACAGCCTCTCACAAAGCCATCTCCCATCACGCCTCCAGGCAGGGAGACATTCCAGCTGGAGCAGATAGAGATGCCGAAACACAGCCCAGGATGCTTGGAGCTCTCTGCTTGCAGCGCTGCAAGCTTTTTCTACTCCACTTTTAGGTGGAGTTCCCTCCCAGTCCATGGCAGGAAGAGATTTTCTAATTCTGACCCAGTTTCCATGGTTCATTCCCAATTCCCAGCCTTGTTTGGGGCTGAAGGTGTCCATCCACTCCCAGCAGAGCTGCCTCTCCCAAATCACAGGGTGATTTCTGGGCTTGTCGTGACTTGGGCTCTCAGAGGCACTTGGGGACTTCAGGAGGAGGGTAAGTCACAGTGTCACCCCCTTCGTTTTTTGCCACAACCCCCCCCCCCCCCCCAAAAAAAAAAAAAATCACAACAAAACAAACCCAGTGCTTTCTAGAAAAGCCAGGCAGAATCACAACCAAAGCCCTGGGTTGGGAAGTGGAGTCTTAAAAACATACATGTTTTAAAGGGTGAATGTAAAGGGTTTAAAGCAAGGAGCCAGCCCCAAGCAGAGGAGGCAGAAGAAAAGGTGTCTATGCACAGGCGGCGGTCCATCCAGCTACTTGCTAGCAGTGTTCCTGGTGCTCCTGGGGGCTGCTCTGTTGGAGTGCCAGGATTTCTCCTAAAGCTCCTCCTCTCCTGTGTAACTGCTCCACGGGAGCATCAGCTCCCAGAGACAGGGACCAGCATCAGCCTGTCCCAGCCCCAGCCCCGCAGCCAGGCTTCCCACCGGGACACAGGCTCCAGCAGCGCTGGGACACTGGGCAGGTGGGACACGGCACCCTGGCTCCCCACACACCTCATTTGCTTGCCGGTGCCCCGGTTTCTGCCTCATCTGCAGTGGCCGCTCACGAGTGTTTGCTGCCCATGCGGACAGCCAGAGAGAGGCCTCTGTGCCCTGCCTGCTGCTCCCGGCAGCTCTGCAGGTGGGAAAGGAACCAGTGAATCCAGCTCACCTGATGGCTTCCATCCCTCATCCCCACAGCATCGAGAGAGGGCTCCTGCCGTGCCTGCCCGCCTCACCCGCCCTCGCTGTTACCCAGCCTGAGAGGAAGAAACAGCCTCATGGCTTAAAGTCCCCTCGCTCTGGGAAATCACTGTTCATGCAGAACATGCGGCACCACCAGCAGAAGGGAAGAGCAAACACTTCAGGGCAGGCAGCTTTCACAACTGCGATATCCGAAGCTCATCCGATGGGCACTTGGAGCTCACTAACACCACAGCATCGGAAATCTAGGTACATTCTAACAGGTTTCTTTTCTCTTTTAGATGCTCACCCTGAAAACTCTTTGTACCTTTGCACTCCAAGGCAGCCTTGTCCATATATAAGGACACACTGAGGCTTCTCCCATAAGTAAAACTGCAATAAATGTTGTGTTATTACATACTTCAGCCCCAGCAAAAATCTGCAGCAGGCCCCTCCATATAATAAACTGTCAGAAAGTGAAAAGCAGGATGCCTTGTTTACCGATGGGTCCTGCCGTATTGTGGGAAAGCTTCGGAGATGGAAGGCAGCTGTATGGAGTCGTCAACGACAAGTTGCAGAAACTGCTGAAGGAGAGGGTGAATCGAGTCAGTTTGCTGAGGTGAAAGCCATCCAGCTGGCCCTGGACATTGCTGAACGAGAAAAGTGGCCACTACTTTATCTCTATACTGACTCATGGGTGGTGGGAAATGCCCTGTGGGGGTGGTTGCAGCAATGGAAGCAGAGCAACTGGCAAAGCAGAGGTAAACCCATCTGGGCTGCTGCACTGTGGCAAGATATTGCTGCCACAGTGGGTGCAGAACCTGGTGGTGAAGGTACACCACATAGATCTTCATGTACCCAAGAGTCAGGCCACTGAGGAACACCAAAACAGCCAACAAGTGGATAAAGCTGCTAAGATTGAAGTGGCACAGATGGACTTAGATAGGCAACATAAGGGTGAATTATTTTTGGCCCGGTGGGCCCATGACACTTCAGGCCATCAGGGCAGAGATGTGACATATAGATGGGCCCGTGATCAGCAGGTGGTATCGTATTCTCTTCCCTTGTGTCCTGGGTTCAGCAGTAGCAGTCATGTTTCTCCTTCTTGGTAGCTGGTGTAGTGCAGTGTTTTGACTTTCAGCTCGGGAACAGAGCTGATAGAGATGTTTTGGTTTGGCCAAGGACACTGTGAGGCTCATGCTCTGCCAGGGGGGAGGGGAAGCCAGGAGGAAGCAGAGACAGGACACCTGACCCAAACTGACCAAAGAGGTATTCCATACCACAGCACGTCATGCCCAGGATGTAACTGGGAGTTAGCCGGAAGGGCTGGGGGACTGCAGGGTTGGAGGAGGTATCGGTCGGAGCTTGGTCGGGCTTGGGGGGCGAGTTATCCGTCAGCTGGTGCTGAGGTGTTGTATTCTCTTCCCTTGTTATTTCCTTTATCATTATTATCATTGGTGGTAGCAGTAGTGATTTGTGTTATACCTTAGTTACTAAACTGTTCTTATCTCAACCCGTGGGAGTTGCATTCTTTTTGATTCTCCTCTCCGTCCCTCCGGGAGCAGGGGGAGGGCAAGAAAGGGGGGGGGGGGGAAGTGAGCGAACGAGTTACCTGACTGGGTTTAAACCACGACACCTTGTTATTTTCTCTTATCATTGTTGTCGGTGGTGGTAGCGGTGGTGATTGGTTGCTGGACTGTTCTTGTCTCAACCCGTGGGAGTTGCATTCTTTCAATTCTCCTCCCCATCCCACTGGGAGCTGGAAAGGAGAAGAGCCCCGGGGGGGGGGGGGGGGGGGCCTCAATTGCTTCCAGCCCGGCACCACTCACTGGGAGTGAGTGAACAAGCTGTCTGGCTAGGTTTAAACCACGACACTTGTATAAGAACCACGTGTGAGAATGCAACAATTGACAGGTGTATCGAAGAAACAAATGCTACTAACTTTTGTGTGTGCAATTTTACCAAAATCACTGGATGCGATTTTAACTACACCACCCCTGTCACTATTTACCAACTAATACAAGATACTGATGTGTTATACCATGATATACCTGCCCTACAGATTGGACTGAAAATAGAAATGCTAAAGAAAATGTTCTATGACCCAGAGCTGGAGAAGATGATGCAGAAGGCCAACGAAACTTCTCACCAAGCAATATGGGCTGTTAAGCATAATGTAGAAGAAATCGAAGAAATCATCACTGACACCAAGAAAACTGGAGAGCACCACTGGTGGGAAGTTTTCTTGGTAGGGACAAAATGGCAACCTCTTACAGCAACTCAACTTTTTGATATACCGGTCTACCCTGTGCTTGTGCTACTGCTGACTACGGCTTTATTAACAATTGTTCATTTGTGGACGTGGTGGAAAGTTCCTACAGTAGCTCAAGAGGTGTGCATACTATGGACTGTGCAAAAGAATTTGCACAATTTTAAGGAAAAGGGGGGAAATTGAGACCAAGCCATTAGGCCTTAGCTGAAATAACTTGAGTTTTTAGCATGAGGATGACTTAGCACCTGAACATGAAAGAGGGGACCCCTCTGAGGGTGGGAACCTGCCCCTCTGGTGAGGCATGATAAACAACGCGTTGGAATTCAGGCCTGTAGACGCCTTGCATCTGCTTCTGGCAATTGCTTCTAAGCAGGAACATCCCTGATGGCCCGGCGCCGCACCGCGCACCGCCTCCAACCACCACCGCCTGCAGTACCGAACTCTGCACACAGATGGCAGCAGCGAGCGGCGCCGCACCGCACCCCTCCACCGGCTGTGCTGGGTTTTGGGGGGGTACCCCCCACACCAGCCCCCCTACCCCAACCTTTGCAGACCCAGAATCAGGGGTTTGGAGTATTCTGGGGCCACCACAAGCACAGCCCGTCACGGAAAGGTCTTTTTAGGGAAATCAGCCCCAAATCCAGCTGTTACCCCCCTTTCTTCGGAGGAGCCCCCCCATCCTCTACTCACCTGCTCCTCTGCCGGATCATTGCCAAGCACCAGCTTTCTGTCCTGGCACCTTAGGCTTAGGAGCAGGACCTGGATGTCTGCACTCTGGGATCTCGTGGTTTGAGTGTCATTTGGGGCTTTTGAAGGCGGTTTGGGGGAATTTCTGGAAGGTTTGGGGCAGAGTTTGTGCTCTTCGTGCATAATTTGGGGTAATTCCAGCTGTCTGGAGGCATTTGGGGTGAATGTTGAGCTGCTGTAGGGACTTGTGGGGCATTCTGAGGTGAATGTTGAGCTGCTGTGGGGACTTGTGGGGCATTTTGGGGTATTTGGGGGCTGGTTTAGGACCATCAAAGCCATTTTGGGGGTCATTTGAGCTGATTTGGGACAATTTGCGTGGGTTGTTGTGGCGGTTTGGGGCATTTCAGGCTGGTTTGGGATATTTTGGGACACTTCTAGTTTTCTTTGGGACATACTGGACCTTTTGCAGGCAATCTGGGCAGGTTTAGGGGTGCTTGGGGTGGCCTTGGGACACTTTTCTCTGGTTTTAAGGCCATTTGGGGCAGTTTGGGTTGGTTTTTGCTATTTTGGGGCGATTCAAACTGGTTTTGGTTGAGTTTTTCCTTCCTTCCAATGGGGCCTAGAGCCTGAGCATAGGACACAGAATCCCAGAATGGGACGGACTGGAAGGGACCTTAAAGCTCATCAGTTTTGCCCCTGTGCCACCGGCAGGGACACCTTCCACTAGAGCAGGTTGCTCCAAGCATGTCCTACACGTGGTGACCTCAGGAACAGTATCACCAACACGGATATCCTCCCTTACTTACCCACCTAAAACTGCATCTGTGAAGAGTGTAAGAGTGGCTACCCGTGTTGTTGGCAGCACTGCAGAGCTCACTGTGTGAGCCCAGCACCAGCTTTCTATCCTGGCCCCTTAAGCCTGGGAGCAGGGGCTGGATGTTTGCACTTTGGGATGTGGCGGTTTGAGTGCAATCTGGAGCACTTCTGCAAGGTTTTGAGTTGGTTTGGGGGCAATTTGGGCTGCTTGTGCATAATTTAGGGTAATTTCAGGCGTTTGGGGCATTTTGGGTGTATTTTGACGGACCCACCAGTCCATCCCTGCACCCTGCAGGGACGGTGGCAGGATGGGACCCATTGCAGCCTCCCTACTTGCGGGAAGCATCGCTTCATGTGTCCCCAAGGACTTTATTGAACCTTTAAAACCTGAAGCATGCGGCTGGTTGGGTGTTCCCCACAGGAAGAAGAGGAAAAGGAGGAGGAGGAGGAAGAGGAGGAGGAGGCAGGGGGCATGCTGGGGCTCAGGTGGCAGGCAGCCAGACTTTCTGGGTGCTGATGATGTCGCTGAGCTTGCTCTTGACCTTCAGAAAGTGTCTCTTGAACTCCAGGCCATCACCCTGCATGGGGAGAGGTTGTGTTACCTTGCACCCACCCACCATGGTCCTGCATCACCTTGCACCCACCCACCATGGTCCTCCATCACCTTGCACCCACCCACCATGGTCCTGCATCAGCTTGCACCCACCCAACATGGTCCTGCATCACCTTGCACCCACCCAACATGGTCCTGCATCACCTTGCACCCACCCACCATGGTCCTGCATCACCTTGCACCCACCCACCATGGTCCTGCATCACCTTGCACCCACCCACCATGGTCCTGCATCACCTTGCACCCACCCACCATGGTCCTGCATCACCTTGCACCCACCCACCATGGTCCTCCATCACCTTGCACCCACCCACCATGGTCCTGCATCAGCTTGCACCCACCCAACATGGTCCTGCATCACCTTGCACCCACCCAACATGGTCCTGCATCACCTTGCACCCACCCACCATGGTCCTGCATCACCTTGCACCCACCCACCATGGTCCTGCATCACCTTGCACCCACCCACCATGGTCCTGCATCACCTTGCACCCACCCACCATGGTCCTGCATCACCTTGCACCCACCCACCATGGTCCTCCATCACCTTGCACCCACCCACCATGGTCCTGCATCAGCTTGCACCCACCCAACATGGTCCTGCATCACCTTGCACCCACCCAACATGGTCCTGCATCACCTTGCACCCACCCACCATGGTCCTGCATCACCTTGCACCCACCCACCATGGTCCTGCATCACCTTGCACCCACCCACCATGGTCCTGCATCACCTTGCACCCACCCACCATGGTCCTCCATCACCTTGCACCCACCCACCATGGTCCTGCATCAGCTTGCACCCACCCAACATGGTCCTGCATCACCTTGCACCCACCTAACATGGTCCTGCATCACCTTGCACCCACCCACCATGGTCCTGCATCACCTTGCACCCACCCACCATGGTCCTGCATCACCTTGCACCCACCCACCATGGTCCTGCATCACCTTGCACCCACCCACCATGGTCCTGCATCACCTTGCACCCACCTAACAGGGTCCTGCATCACCTTGCACCCACCCACCATGGTCCTGCATCACCTTGCACCCACCCACCATGGTCCTGCATCACCTTGCACCCACCCACCATGGTCCTGCATCACCTTGCACCCACCCACCATGGTCCTGCATCACCTTGCACCCACCTAACATGGTCCGGCATCACCCTGCACCCACCTAACATGGTCCTGCATCACCTTGCACCCACCTAACAGGGTCCTGCATCACCTTGCACCACCTTGCAAGTCCCTGCATCACCTTGCACCTACTGTGCATCACCGTGTGCCCACCTTGGAGAGGCGAAAATCCACCAAGATCTTGCTCTCCATCTCCACCAGGTTCACCTTGAAGATGAGTTTGTTGTTCCTCCTGTCCGTAGTCGAGATGGTGACCTGAAAACAGCAGCAAGGAGGGAGGATCCCCTGAGTTACTTACAGATACAACAGCAGGGAGGCCGCACCCCAGGATCTCGCCCCCCAGCACCCACCTGGTTGGTGCAACTCTTCTTCCAGCCGTACCCCATCTTCTCACACACCTCCTTCAGGGCACGGTACGAGCCGTCAGCGTCCAGCTTGGTGAAGAAGCGCGTCATCCGCTTCACCAGGCGCTGCCAGGGGCTCTGCCAGCCCCAAAACCATGGGAAAGGTCAGAAATCCCACCAGGCTGCAGCAGTCCCGAGGGTAAGCCCTGGAAAGCTGCACCCCCCGATGGCAAAGGCTGCGAGCTGCATCACTCAGGATGCAAACCTGCATCCCAAACATGATGAACGCTGCGAAGCTGCATCCCAGTACCGCAAAACTGCTCCCTAATGGCATAAATATTGCACAGTTGCCTCTGAATCTCACAAATATAATGTGAAGTTGCATCCCAAATGTAATAAACACGGCAAAGTTGGGCTCCGAGGTTATAAATGGGATGAAAAGTTGCATCCCAATCACTGCAGTTGCAAAGCAGCCCCTAAACACTGCAAAGCTGCATCCTGCTGCTAGAAATACCCTAAAGACACACAGAAAACATTGCAAAGTTTCTTCTGGAGATGATAAAACCTTGCAAAGCTGCATCTCTGATATTGCAAAGCTGCATCTTGGTATCATAAATGCTGCAAAGGTGCATCCTGCTGCTAAAGATACTTCAAAGTTGTTTCCTAAATGCTGCAAAATCACATCCAAAGATGACCAATAGTGCAAAGCTGCTCCCTAGAATTATATATGCTGCAGAGTTACACCCCAAACACTGCAGAGCTGCACCCCAATAGAGTTGAGCCCCATACCTGTGAGGAGCCCGGGGTGCCGAGGAGCTGGCTGTTGACCAGCATGTGCTCAGGGCAGGCGGGCTGGGAGAAGCTGATACCCTGCACCAGCTTGTCGATGGCAGCTGCTCCACAATCCCAGAGCATCCCACCAGTGCCCGGCTCCGGCTGCGATGTGGAGTAGCTCACTTTCTCCTCACTGCAATGCAAGGAGAGACGGGGTGTTATAGGGGTGTGAAGGAGAGGCTGCAAGGATGGGGAATGCAGGGATATTTCAGCATGGGAATTGCAGCAGGATATTGGCGAGGGGCTCTTCATTGTGCATGGTTTCCACCACCCACCTCATGGAGAAAACACAGGGAAAGCCCTGGAAGGTGCAAAGAACTGCATGGCCTAACAGTGACACAGCACTTACATACCCCAGGGCATGGAGAGGGACACGGAGGGAATCAGGGGCTCACCCAAGCGGGCTCTTCACTGGTGAGAAGTCCGTATCGGATCGGACGTGCTTGGAGAAGCCACCGGGAGAATCAGAGACCCCCCCTGCGGACACACGAGCCCGCTTGACGCCTGCAACGGGACGAGACACCCCAATAATTCCCTAAATCAGGAGTGACGAACACATTCCCCCGTGTCCCCTTACCCTTCTTGAGGGGTTTGCTGTACCACCGGTCCTTCTTGATATCGGGAATGGTGATCCTTGCCGCAGGGCTCTCTGTCAGGATCTTGTGCAGCAAAGCTGGGAGAGATGGAGAGGGGTGGGAACGGTGATCCCAGCATGGCATGGGGCACTGCTGGGGGTACTGGGTGCTCACCTAAGGGTGCAGAATCAATCTTTTTCCAAGGCGGGAGGTAGGTTTTCCTCTCCTTCCAGTCACTGTATTCCTGGCAGCTGTCGCTGGGCTGGTCCCAGGGCAGCTCTGCCGGAGGGGAAACCTGTTACTGCACCATGAGAAGGGGAGAACGCAGCCAAGGAGGCAGCACATGGAGAGGTATTGCAAAGGGAGGGGGAATGAACACCACTGCTTTGGGGCTTTAGAACAGGCAACATGCAAAGCCCTGCAGCGTGCACAAGCACCTAGCACTACCACCTACGACAATGGTCATCTCCCACACCAGGCATCTCTGCACTGCATCCATTGTGTTGCCCCCCTGTTCCCTGGGCACCCTGTGCAGCGCCTCAACACCCTCACAGGGAAGAGCTTCTGCCTAAGAGCTCATCTCAGTCTTCCCTCGGGCAGGTTAAAGCCATTCCCCTTGGCCTGTCCCTACATCCCTTGTCCCAAGCCCCTCTCCAGGTTTCCTGCAGCCCCTTTAGGCACCGGAGCTGCTCTCAGGTCTCCCCTTCAGGAGCCTTCTCTTCTCCAGGCTGCCCCAGCCCAGCTCTCTCAGCCTGGCTCCAGAGCAGAGCTGCTCCAGCCCTCGCAGCATCCCCATGGCCTCCTCTGGCCTTGCTCCAGCAGCTCCCTCTTGTGCTGTTGCCCCAGAGTTGAATCAGGGCTGCAGGGGGGGGTCTCCCCAGAATACAGCAGGGGGGAGAATCCCCTCCCTTGACAGGTCACCCCCATTCCCATCCCAAGAGCTCCACACACCTCCCTCTATGCATTTCCCCTGTGTCCCTTGAGCACGTCATGTGTGCCCCACACACATGGGGCAGCCCCACCTCCGGCCAGCATGGCTGTCAGCACCACGCCACAGGCCCAGACGTCGACAGGCTCCGCACTGAACTCAGGGCACCGCAGCAGCTCTGGGGCCACGTAGGGCAGGGTCCCACACATCTTATTGAGCAGCCGCTCCCGGCCGTTGTGCCTGAAGACTGTGGCCAGGCCGAAATCCGAGATCTTCAGGTTATCTGAAAATGGAAAAGAGAAGGAATTTAAAGTCAGGCAGGGTGGGCATGCAATGGGCAAGCAGAGGGCAAGTGGTGGCCACAGAAGGGGCACGCAATGGCCAAGCAGCTGGAACACAGCAGGCAAGCAGTGAGCACACGTAGTGCATAGTAGGCAGGCAGAAGGCACATCAAGGCCATGCAATGAACAGGCAGCAGGCCAGCAGTGCACAGATGACAGGTAAATGATGCAGGGACAGGTCAAGCAATGGCCAAGCAGCGGCCACATAAGGGGCATGCAACAGTCAAGCAGCAGCGATGCAGCAGGCACACAAGGGGCACGCCGTGGGTAAGCGGTGGGCAAACACAGGGCATGCAATGGCCCTGCAGTGGCCACGTGGTGGGCACGTGACAGCTAAGCAGTGGGCACACAAGGGGCATGCAACAGCCGAGCAGTGGGCACACAGAGGCCAAACTGCAAGGTACAAATCAATTCAAATTAAAACTCAAAATGAATGGACAGAGAACGTGCCCTCCTGCCTCACCTCGCTCATCCAGCAGCAGGTTCTCTGGCTTCAGGTCACGGTGGGTGATGCCGATGCTGTGCAGATAGACCTGGAGATGGCAGAGAAGGGTCAGCACCATGTAGGGACCACCACTGGTGTCACCAGCACTGCCACCACACTCACCACACCAGCAATCAACTGCTGGAAGAACCGCTGCGCCTCTGGCTCTGGCATCCCGATATCTGGCTCTGTGTAAGGGGGAAAAGAATGGAAAGAGATTCTCAACCATTTAGGGATTTAGTTTCTAATGAGAAGACAAGCAAAGAAAAGTGGGCTTGTTTAGCCTGGAGAAGAGAAGGCTCCTGAAGGGGAGACCTTAGAGCAGCTCCAGTGCCTAAAGGGGCTGCAGGAAACCTGGAGAGGGGCTTTGGACAAGGGCCTGTAGGGACAGGCCAAGGGGAATGGCTTGAACCTGCCAGAGGGGAGACTGAGATGAGCTCTTAGGCAGAAGCTCTTCCCTGTGAGGGAGCTGAGGCGCTGGCACAGGGTGCCCAGAGAAGCTGTGGCTGCCCCATCCCTGGCAGCGTTCAAGGCCAGGTTGGACACAGGGGCTTGGAGCAAGGTTCTCTAGTGGAAGGTGTCCCTGCCTTGGAACTGGATGCGCTTTAAGGTCTCTTCATCCCAAACCATTCTAGATTCTAAGAGGTGTCTGTCAGCAGCGCACCGATGCGGTCAAAGAGCTCCCCGCCGCTGCAGTACTCCAGGAACAGGTACTGAGTGGCACCTTCCCGCCGGTGCCCATAGAACTTGACGATGTTCTCGTGGTTGAGCATCTTGTTGATGCAGATTTCCTTCTTGATGTTCTCGGGGCAGTCGGCCGCTCGCTTCGTGTCCACGATCTTGACAGCCACGGCCTCCTCGGTGCGGCGGTTGACAGCGAGCTGCACCCTGGGGACAAGAGGGGCCTGAGAGGCTGTCACAGAGATGGGCTGCAGGCAGGGACAGGCAGGGGATGCAGGTGCAGGCAGCGGATGCAGGTGCAGGCAGCAGGCATGCAATGGGCGGATAAGGGACGCGCAGTGGGCACGTAAGGGTCATGCAATGGGCAAGCGGTGGGTGCACAAGGGGCATGCAACTGCCAAGCAGTGGGCAAAGACAGGGCATGGAGTGGCCACGCAGCAGGCACACGAGGGGCATGCAATGGGCAAGCAACGGGCAAACAGCAGTGGGCATACACAGCGCACCCAATGGCATTGCAGCAGTGGCAGTGACCACACACGGGGCACACAACCACCAAGCAGGGGGCAAGTGGCGAGCATACACAGAGCACGCAACAGCCAAGCAGTGGCCACATAAGGGGCACACAACGCCCAAGCAGCAGGCACAGTGGGAAGCAGCGGACACGCAGGGGCCTGCGCCAGCCAAGCAGGGGGCACGCAAGAGACTCCCGCCGCCTGTGTGCTTGCGGGGACACACTGGGCGCGCAACCGCAGGCAACAACCCCGACCGACCCCCTCCCGTTCCCGGCGCCCCGCACTCACTCCCCGTAGGCGCCTTCTCCCAGCGTCTGCACCAGGTCCCAGTCCTCCACGAACGGCACCGCCATCCCCGGGCGCTCCTCCTCCGTTCCCGTTTCCCGCCAGCGCCAACCGCGTCCCGCCCCGCCCTGCGCGCGCAGCGCCCAAGCCCCGCCCCCTGCTGCCCTGAGTCCCCGCGCCCGCCCGCTCCCCCGCCCTAGAGGGCAGCCCTGCTGCTCCCCATCATTTCACCCGCACTGATTAAAAGCCGTAAAACGCCCCCAAAATCTATCCCCCCCCCCGTTCTGGATAGGGAGGGAGAAAGCCCCATGGTCTCCCACACCACCGCCATCGCCCTTTTTTTAACTTTTATTACTTATAATTCCCCATTAAAGCCGTTATTCCCGATTTGGCGACCGCTTCGTGTATAAAAATCACACCCCGGCAGGCAGGGAGGGGCAGGGACACCCCACTGCTGCCTGTACTTACAAACTGTATAAAACAAAAGGAAAACAACCAATTCCGCCGAAAGAAAACCCCAAAACCAACCCCCCCCCCCAAAAAAAAAAAACCACGCTTCTGCTTCACAGGAAAGGCTGGATCAGTGCGGTGTGAGGTGACCATCAGCACCTCTACGTCCTTGACAAGCCGCGGTTATCCAGATCTTTCACCTGGGAGGTAAACAACAAGGCTCAGTGGGGTGAAAGTTAATGCTTTTACCCAAATATGAGGGGTTTGGGGTTGTTTTGGAGCTGCACCTTGTATATTCGGACAAGCCAGTGCTCTGTGGTGTATGCCTCCTCCAGCACATCCAGCTCAAAGTCCTTGTTGCCGATTTCGGCGTTCCTCACCCGGTCGTAGCCCGGCGGTCGCTCTAGGAGAGGGCAAAGTACAGGCAGTGCTGCCACATCACAGCCCAGAGATGTTGGGGGCACGGCAGGGTCTCCCTGGAGTGGTGTCACCCCCGCCAGGGGTGGTTCTGGGGACTTACTGGCCTCAGTGTAGACCTGGCCGAAGCGGTAGTAGCACATCTTGTACATGAGGCAGTTGAGGAGCACCGGGGAGCCCTCGCGGTCGACCCGGAACTCCCCTGTAGGGGTGTAGTAGTCGTGCTCCTTGATGTGGCGCCCTGTGTCCGTGCTGCCCCCGATCCGCACCATCCACAGGAACTTGTTGATGTCTGACGGGGGAGAGCAAAGTGTGGAAGAATGAAATGAGTTGAGAGAATGAGGAGTTGAACTGAGGGGCCAAGAGCAAGGGAAGGACTTGAGCTGCGGGGTGAAAGACAAGGTGTTGAGTTGGGGGTTCAAGAGGAAGGGACCGAGTCGAGACAGAGTGAAAGAACAAGGAGCTGAGTTGGGGGAGTGAGAGGGTTGAGCTGGGTGGTGAAAGAACAAGGAGTTGAGGTGAAAGAATTAGGAGGTTGAGTTGAGTTTGTGGGCTGCAAGTGAGGGGTTGAATTGAGCTGGGAGGCCCACAGCAAGGAGTTGAGATGGAAGGCCTAGAGCGAAGAGGTTGAGTTCGGAGGCCAAGAGCAAGAAGTTGAGTTGTGAGGTCAAGAGCAAGAGGTTGAGTGTCGGAGTGCAAAAAAGGCACATGCAGCTTCCGAAGAGGAGTGTTTTGGTACCATTTCCACTTGCAGCCTCAGCTGCAGGTGGAACTTCACTCCTCAGAGCTGTTTTGGAGAAGCCTGAGCCACAAACAGCCCCTAGATGGAGTTGACCCAGCTCAGAGTGAGATCTTACCATCAGATGAGTACCCAGTGAGGCCTCCGAAGATGACCAGCACATAGCTGACATCCAGCTCCCTCATGATCTCATAGGCTCTCTCCTCCGTCGATGCCATGGCCTGGAGCAGATGCAGTCTCAGTGATGCCACGAGGTGCCCCAGAAGGGCAGGACAAGGCAGTGGGTGAGGGAAGGACCTACCTGACCAACACGGGAGATGTGCGTGTTGTTCCAGGTGTTGTTGTCCACCAAGATGGTCCTGTTGGCCATGGCCGTTATCTGGTACCCATAATCCCACCAGGACATCACCTTTGCATCCTACACACAACACCAGATGGGCTGTTGGCACCTCAGGGGACAACACTGAGTCCCCACCACCCAAATCATCCCTGTTTACCTCTGGTGTGTTGTGCCGCAGCCAGTAATAAGCTTCTCTGAAGTCATCAAAAATGATCCTGCTGCCATCGCCACCACGGGCAGAGAGCACAATGGAGGGGGATGAGTATGCCTCGCTCGTCACCCAGGTGGAGTGAAAGGTGTAGGTGATCAGGAAGAAAGCCATGACCAGGATCATGCCACTGGCAACCTGCGGAAACAAACCGGGATCAACACTGAATGGAAGAGGCCACCACCTCCACTTGTCCCCAGCCAGGATGAGGTGCCTCCTCCTGTCCCAAGCCAGCCTAACTCACTTCATTTTTGATGGGGTAGGTGGAGTCTTGCTGCTTTTTGCTCTTCTTGTCTGGCCGGCTGATATCCAGGTTCTTCATGTAGGTGGACAGCACCTGGGAAACCCCGATGCCAGAGAGGATACACATCACCGGGGCCAGCACCAGCATGAGACGCACCTATGGGTGACAGCAGAACCATCAGTGGCTGCTGGAGAAGAAATCCAGGCAGAAATCTGAGAGAAGGGAAATGAAACACCAGAAACCTCAGCCTCGACATAAACCTCCAGCTGACTTATTTAGCCCCCAAAGGATGTTCTCTGAAGACCTCGAAACTGGCCAATGTGCAGAACTGACCTCAACTGAGTACCCTTGGGCAGACTTAGGTGGAGCCAAGGATTTTTAGATGCCTCCACAGCAAAAAATCAACCCATATTTAGAACTTGGGGTGCTAAAGCAAGAGTGGAAACAGACTCAGCAGCAGCTATTTGCTGGAGTGACTGCTCGGATACCTGGAAAATTTGTTTGGGGTTGCAACTCAGCTATGGGAGACCAGGAAGAGACCCAGTGTGGCCACTTGGAAGCAAGTAACACCAAACCCTTTGAGTTTTGCCACATCACATTCCCTCACTGCGTGGGGAGGCCAACAAAGCAGTTTTAAGGAAGGGAGCAAAGCCTCACAAACACTTTAGCCAGCTCAGGGTGGAAGAACCATCATCAGCTTGAGAAAAGAGAACACTAAATTAGCTTTGTGAGGACCATTTCACCATCACGCTTGCGCCCAGCAGGAAGCAGCCCCTCACCATCACAGCAGAGAAGTACATGCTGGTCACGCCATACATGATGATGAAAATGCGGGCGTCCGAGAGATTGCTGAAGCAGTAGTAGAGGCCAACTGTGGAGAGGAGAGAGAAATGGGTCAGGCCCACCTTGGGGATCTGCTGCCTATAGTGAGAAACAGCCGCAGAGGCACATTCTTTAACGCATCAGGGTCTGATGGCACCTGCACTGGGCTCACCTGGGAACATGAACACGAGGAGCTGCAGGTCAAAGTAATAGGAGGACCAGGTGGTGGGCTGGTGCTCAGAGACCGAGGCAATGATGGGGATGTTGTTCTTTGCATAGGAAGGATCCAGGAGGGAGTAGAAACGCCCCGTCCACGGGGAGATTTTCCCTAGGCAAGAGGAGATAAAACCCAACCAACTTCAGTTCCAGCAATGTCAAGATGATCCCTCACAAGGCAAGCACATGCAAGGCTGGCTGTGCAATCCCAGAGCTTGTTTAACATCCCTATTACTCAAACCTGCCATTTTAGAAAGGAAACAAAGTTTACCCTAAAAAAGGCTTCTCCCCCATCACCAGCCATTTTTAGCACCTTTTTGCTACTACAGACTAACATGTGCCAGCTCAGCAGCTCCAGCACGCCGAGTCATGGCAGATTACTCTCTGCACCTCATGACAGCAGCAGCCCAGATCTTACAGCTGCTTCCCAAGTCTTTTCCTGGTGATGGAGAAACTGGGGCAGTCCCCAGGCTCCACCGCAGAGGGCGGGTCTGCAGGCAGCAATGTGAAATTTGGATTGACAAATTATGTGCTTTTCAAAGCGCAGGGAAATGCTACGAGGGCTGGAGCAGCTCTGCTCTGGAGCCAGGCTGAGAGAGCTGGGCTGGGGCAGCCTGGAGAAGAGAAGGCTCCTGAAGGGGAGACCTGAGAGCAGCTCCAGTGCCTGAAGGGGCTGCAGGAAACCTGGAGAGGGGCTTGGGACAAGGGCCTGTAGGGACAGGCCAAGGGGAATGGCTTTAACCTGCCAGAGGGGAGACTGAGATGAGCTCTCAGGCAGAAGCTCTTCCCTGTGATGGCCAGAGAAGCTGTGGCTGCCCCATCCTTGGCAGTGTTCCAAGGCCAGGTTGTATGAGGCTCGGAGCAAGCTTCTCTACTGGAAGGTGACCCTGCCTGTGGCAGGGGGTTGAAAATCGGTGAGCTCTAAGGTCCCTTCCAACCCAGATGAGTCTGGGATTCTATGATCCAAAGCAAGGAAAGGAGGCAGTGAAATGCACTCACGGTCCCCACCATCTCAGGCTACCTGTCAGCATCAGCACAGCCCCGATAGTGAGCAGAACAAAGCCAACCAGGGAGATGACACTCCTGAAGAGGATTTCAAACTGCTGTGGGTTCAGCTTGCTCCGAAGGTAGTCAACGAAGGCATGGATCTGGCACAAGCCAAAGACTCCAAGGGCAGCCATGTGCTCCGAGGAGAGGACAGGCTGCAAGCAGGGGAGATGTGGATCAGGGACAGAGGAGAACAAGAGTCCAAAAGCTAATTTTGCAACAAATCAGCGTTAGCAAGATCTCCATCAAGAAGCCAGCACCCACTTACAGCCTCAAAGGCAAAGGCAAAAGAAACAACTTGCTGTTGTTCTGTTACAAGCAATAAAATGACCAGCCTTGAGTTTGCAAATCATTCTGGTCCCCACCTGGAAGCCAACAAAAGAGATCTGCATGGAGAGGATGGTTCCCAAGCAGTAGACAGTGCAGTAGGCTACGTAGATCCTGTGGGAGAAGCGCCCGGTCAGCATCAGCACAAGAACATGCAAGGGTATGAGGTTAATCAGAAAGACGTAGCCACCCCACGAGGAGACCTGCCAAGAGAGAAAACAAACAACACACCACAAGTTCCAGGACGGAACAGGTCTCACAGCAGAGCTCAAATGCAGCAGGTTTGATATTCCTGGGATCAAGCACAAATAGAAGCTGGGTGGAGACTGGATTGAGAGCAGCCCTGAGACTAAACTGACAGGAGCCCTAATCTGATGGAGATTGAGATGGGATGTTAGGAAGTTCCTCCCTGTGAGGGTGCTGAGGCGCTGGCACAGGGTGCCCAGAGAAGTTGTGGCTGCCCCATCCCTGGCAGTGTTCAAGGCCAGGTTGGACACAGGGGCTTGCAGCAAGCTGCTCTAGTGGAAGGGGTCCCTGCCTGTGGCAGGGGTTGGAACTGGAGGAGCTTTAAGGTCCCTTCCAACCCAAACCAGTCTGGGATTTTCACGCCAAGTTCTGCTACCTGAACACAAGGACACAGGAATGGGACACTGGATGGTTTTGGTCACCATATCCAGAATAGACTTTGTTGTCCAAAGTACCTCGGTGCCAGGAGAAAGAACACTCACCATGTAGAAATAGGCCAGAGCACACATGGCTGCCCAATAGATGGAGCCAGTTTTGACAGCTTTGATCCACATGTAGTAAGTTAACAGCATGCAGAAGATGGCAATACCTGGGTGGAAGGAGAAAGAGACGTCAAAGCAAGCTCCTATCAGCCCTGAAATGTTAATCTATGACCTCTGGGGCACAGCAGAGCACTCAATGCATTAAAAATGCATATATAAATGCTTTTGTTGCTCTATCAGAAATGGAACAGAGTCTCATGCAAAGAGGCAGGGGTGGGAAATGGGTTTCTGAACACAGCACCTCCTCACACAGGCCCCAGAGCCCAGCTACAGGAGAGGAACCTGATCACTGGCAACAAGACTGTTGCCTTTGCCAGCCCCAGAATTGCTTCTGGAATGGACATAAACAGAGCACAGCGTCCCTCTGTTGTTCTCTGTGGCATCCTTACCATCATCATCCAGCAGCCAACAGCTGGAAACAGCAGCTTTCCCTGCTCCCAGTGCCAGAAACTCACCTTCGTTATCGTAGGAGCCGGCAACGGATCGGGAGATGTACCCGGGCACAACTGAGATCATAGCAGCAGCCAGGAGCCCTGCGCCTGCGTCCTGTGAAGAGAAACCAGCCAGAGGGTGGAAAAAGCCTCTTGGGAATTTTGCCATATTCCACATGGATACACCTCAAAGGAATACATCCTACAAGGATGCTGGAGAGAGATTCTTCATCAAGGGCTGTAGTGATAAAACAAGGGGTGATGGGTGCAAACTGAAACAGGGGCAGTTCAGGTTTGATATAAGGAAGAAGCTTTCCCCTGTGAGGGTGCTGAGGCCCTAGCACAGGGTGCCCAGAGAAGCTGCGGCTGCCCCATCCCTGGCAGTGTTCAAGGCCAGGCTGGACAGAGCCTTGGGTGACATGGTCTAGTGCGAGGTGTCCCTGCCGACGGCAGGGAGCTGGAACTGGATGATCTTAAGGTCCTTTCCAACCCAAACCATTCTACCTATGATTCTATAAAACTGAGCACCAAAACGACACTTCAGAACAGAAGTTGTGGGTTTTCACTGATGTAGTGGTCACCTCCAAGCTTCCAAGACAACTACAAGTTGCTTTTGCACAAGCCCATGCTCCTCCTGTGAGGTGCATCGCGCTCACCCCTTACCTTGAGCTCTTTGGTGAGGTGGTAAGTCACTATGGTGGTGAAGGAGGAGAAGAGTGGAGCCAGGAACACGCACACATTCCGGATGTCGATGGTGATGTGGAAGAAGTGCAGCACGTGGTAAATCGCTGCTGATGTGATCATCAGGCCTGGGGGGTGGAAATGACACCAGAGCAGCCAAAAGTCTCATCAGGAATGCCTTGGCAAAGGGAATCCCCCTTCTCCTATGCAGCACTGGGACCCTGCTCCCTCCACATCACCCCCTTACCCATTTTCCCCTCATGTGAGGAGCATTTGAGCTCAGCAGAAGCTTACCTGGATAAATGGTACCACCAATGATCCTGCCCAAGGGGTACCATGCTCGGTCATCAAACCAGTTGTGGAATTTATAGAAGCCCTCCTCTGCCAGGAAGCGGGTTGTGCGATAGTTAAAGTACCTATAAGAGGGACAAGCGTTAAATCACCAGCTTGGGACAAGCAGTTAAATCCTATTAAAGCCCACTTGGATGCCCCTCTCTGATGCCCAGGGCAGGACAGCATTGTAAGGTGTGTTTTCCACCCTAAGACTCCTACAGACCTCAACTGCAAAAGCTCACCCTCCTCCTCAGGGGTTTAAAAGTGGGTTTGCAGGGGTAACATCCTCCCTTGAGCCAGATTTAGTCAGCAGCAAGCCCAGGAGTATTTGCAGTGAGCCCTCTCCCCTGCTGTGTGCTGCTCAGGCCAAGAAAAACCAAACCCCAACAAAAAAAGGACAAGGGGAATGGCTTTAACTTGCCCTAGAGGAGACTGAGATGAACTCTTAGGCAGAAGCTCTTCCCTGTGAGGGAGCTGAGGCGCTGGCACAGGGTGCCCAGAGAAGCTGTGGCTGCCCCATCCCTGGCAGTGTTCAAGGCCAGGTTGGACACAGGGGCTTGGAGCAAGCTGCTCTAGTGGAAGGTGTCCCTGCCCACGGCAGGGGTTGGAGCTTGGTGAGCTTTAAGGTCCCTTCCAACCCAAACCATTCCAGGATTCCAGTGGCAAGTAATTACTTAGATTCAGGCTGCAGGAAGAGTCCCAAGAAGTTAATTTTTGGTCTGGAAGAGGAAAACCTATCTGCAGTGAAAACCTCCCTCCAAATCCTGCATCCTCAATGTGGATTAACTTGAGCCTGGTGTACGGCACCCGAATTCTGTGCCCTCTGGACAAGGAAAACCCCCGGGAGACGAGCAGACGACACTTACGGATCAAATTCATGGATGACACTTTCAAACCTTAAGACAGAGAAAAGCCTCGTGGAGAAAGCTGCAAACACAGAGACAGGGTTAAAGGCAGATGAGAGCTTCCCAACCTACAAGAGAAGCAGAGGCTGCTCCCTCCCGTGATTCCCCTTCCAGGGCACCTGCAGGACTTACAGAGCACGGCTGCCATGGACAGGATGAGGAGCTTGAGCAGAGTGTCCTGCTTCTCGTAGGAGAGCCGGAGAAACCCCAGCTTGGTCATTTTCACATCAAAAGTGGGGACTGAGGGTGCTCCAACACCTGAAAACAAGCAGAAAGAGCATCAGAGCACAGCATCTCCAATGGTTCCATGAAGCATACCTTCAATACTCCACTTCTGCAAGATGCTTCCCGGATCCATGCTTCCCACCCCCAAATCCCCTTCCCTCCCATCCTCACCTGATTAGGTGTCCAAGTCCCAGCTGAGGTTTTTCCTTCTATAGACACCAGAGCTTCTTTGGGGCACAGGAGGCGTCTGTTTCTCTGCACAGGAAACAAAGCCCCAGTGTAAGCTCTTAACAAACCCACCAAGTTTCCCTTGGCTGCAGTTTAACCATCGCTTCTGAGAAAAAGAACGCACACAGAACACAAGGAATTGGTCTTGAACACCAAGGAAATGAAACTCTCTTCAGGAAATGACATCTCTGTATTCCTGAAACCACAGATTGCTTTAAGATGCTTCTTGGCCCAATCAGCATGGAAAAACCCAGTCCCAGAACTGGTGGCTAAACGCTCAGGTCATGTATCAGAGCTGCAGCTGAGACTGGGCCAGGCTGAGGTTTAAAACACAAACTGTGTTCTCAGAGCCTGAAAAAAGATGTTTTGGTGCCCGAGAAGTGATTTTAACTGCACATGTTCACGCCTGACACAGAAACAAGCCCCTGATGGATTTATTTCCTGGATCCCTGGCGATAACAGGCAGCAGCTCAGAGAGATGTAAGGTGGATGCCTGCAGGGCATCAGCGGTTCTGCCAGTGGGGTCCCACTGGTACCCCGATTTCACAGCTCCTGCAGACCACTCATGGGGTGTGGGGCACACTTTGCCACACCACAGCTATGGGGGAAGCCAGTCCCAGGATCCTGGAACAGGAAGGAGGAAGAGCCATCCCCAGGCTATGAATTATGGCCCCACACTCACTGCTAGCCCCTCTGAGCTCGTCTGTGCCACACAAGGCACTGCGCCCCCACAACCCCCCATGCAGCCGCCCACAGCCCCGCAGCCACCCCCCTGCACACCTCATCTCCCCACAGCACAGAGCACCCCACAGCTTCACATCCCACAGGCTCTAGCCCCTGACAACCAGCAGCCCCTCGTCCCACAGCATCACCCACCCCTAAAACACACACACCCCATAACCCACCACAGCCCCCTGCCACACACACACGCCATAACCCCCCCCACCCCATAACCCCTCCACCCCCCTACCCCACACACACCCCATAACCCCCTACAGCCCCCTGCCCCACACACACACCCCATAACCCCCCCAGCCCCCTGCCCCACACACACCCCATAACCCCCTACAGCCCCCTGCCCCACACACACCCCATAACCCCCTACAGCCCCCTGCCCCACACACACCCCATAACCCCCACAGCCCCCTGCCTCACACACACCCCATAACCCCCCCACAGCCCCCTGCCCCCCACACACCCCATAACCCCCCCAGCCCCCTGCCCCACACACACACCCCATAACCCCCCCAGCCCCCTGCCCCACACACACACCCCATAACCCCCCCAGCCCCCTGCCCCACACACACACCCCATAACCCCCACAGCCCCCTGCCCCACACACACCCCATAACCCCCCAGCCCCCTGCCCCACACACACACCCCATAACCCCCCCAGCCCCCTGCCCCACACACACACCCCATAACCCCCCCAGCCCCCTGCCCCCCACACACACCCCATAACCCCCCCAGCCCCCTGCCCCACACACACACCCCATAACCCCCCCAGCCCCCTGCCCCACACACACACCCCATAACCCCCACAGCCCCCTGCCCCACACACACACCCCATAACCCCCACAGCCCCCTGCCCATAGCCTTTCGCCCCCCGTTCCACGGCCCTCACCCAAGACCCTCCGCCCCGTCCATCCGCCTTGCGCAGCCTCCCTTGCCCTCCGCCGCACCCCCCCCTCACTCGCCATTGGTCGCCACTCTGAGCACGGCCGCTCTCATTGGCCGAGCCGCCGCGCACTCAGGCGGAGGGGCTGGGCGTGCCGCGTACGGCGCCTCCTGATTGGCGGGGAGAAAGCTACGGCGAACGAGCCGCGACGTGTCCCCCGGAGCTTGGGAGTGCATCACGTGGACGGAAGCGGAAGCAGGCTGCGGTCCCGCCACGTGGGTGGTGACACGTGGGGCGGTGCCAACGGGAGGCCCCGGCGGACACCGACCGCGCATGGGGCGCAGGAGGGGCTCAAGCCGTGTTTCGTCCGTTTAATGTTTCCGTGTGAAAATACTAGAGAAAAGTTGATAAACCGCCCCAAAAAACACCCCCAAACCCACCAACCCCGTCCCGGTTCCGTCCCGACCCCACCGGAACCGGCGCATGCACCGGGAGGGGGACGGGAGCTCCTTAAAAAGTATATCCCCGCCCCCCCCAAAATTCCCATGGCGGGGCGAAGAACCACCCCCGTGGGGGGGGGGGGGGGGAGGGGGCTGCCGGTCACCGGGGGACACGGGGGACCCACTGGGGGACACGGGGACCCCCACCCGGGGCTCAGTGCCCCGGAGCTGGCGTGTGTTTGGTAGGAGAGGGCTGAGGGGGAAGGGGGCGGTCGGAGGAGGAGGAAGCACCGCCCAGGGCCGACTGCAGGTAAACGGTCTTGTGGAAGAGTCTGTTGCTGAGGAAAACCACCAAGGAGAAGAGCCGGAGCTGGAAGTGGCTGGAAAAGGGAAGAGAACACCGTGAGCTTCCTCCCGGATGGAGGTTTGAGGGGGGGTGAGGCTGAAGGTTTGGGGGCACGGAGGGTCTCACTCACTAGGTTTTGCCAGGGGTCCTCGCCTCGTTGGCGCTGATGATGAAGAGGGGGAAAAGGATGGAGAAGAGGCAACCACTGAAGGGAAAAAAAAACCCCAAAATATGATAAAATGACACAAAAGAGGGCATTGGGGTGAGGAAGGACGTGGATGTGGAATGGCAGCTCTCCCCTCACCTGATGATGTAGGAGGACTGCATCGCTGTGAGGAAGGCGAGCGGCAAGCCGAAGCCAAAGTAGTAGGGCCAGTTCCTCTCGATGTTGGACAAGCGCTGGTGCATCTCGATTCCTGGTGGGAAAGGGGGAGAAAACCCATTCGAACCCAACCATTGGCATGGAGCAGCCTCCATCCCAACACATCCCATCTGGAAGCGTCTCCCACCTTTGTTAAACCAGCGGTACTCAAAGCAGTAGAGCGAGTACAGTAGTGACATGTGGAGGAGCCCAACCAGCTGGCCAACCAGATCGATGGGGAAGAGGCTCACGATCATTCCCTATGGATAAAATCCCAGTGAGAGCATGAGGGGAGCTCTGGAGAAGGTGGCCCTGGGGGGATGTGGTTGTTTGGGGGGATTAAATCCTCACCTGGATGAGGAAGAGCGCCTGCAGCAAGAGGTTGAACAACATGTCGGCGATGATTTTGCTGACGCTGGGGAAGGGGTGAGGTTTCCTGCCGGAGACTTCGAAGGCAAGATCTGCAATGTCCTGATGGAGAAGAGAGAGGGCATCCAAAATCCACTGGGATTATTACGTCACCAGGAATACACCCAGAGCCTGTTTTCTGGGCACCCACCTGAAACCAGATGGCGTTGACGACCTTACTGAGGACGAAGAGGGGCAGGACCCAGAGGGCGCTGAAGATGGAGGTGAGGATGAACTCCAGCCAGGCCCAGACATCGCTGTGCAAGGAAGGGTCACCTTCCAGAAACAGGGAAACACGTCAGGATTCCGCGAGGGAAGTGCCTCAGCTCAGGGAGCTCCTCAGTGGAATAACCATGTTTCAGGGAGCTCCTCGTTAGAGGAACCTCCTTGTCTCTGGGAGCTCCATGTTAAAGGAACCTACTCATTTTGGGAAGCTCCTCACTGGACGAAACGTCCTTGTTTTGTGAAGCTCCTTACTTTGGGAAGCTCAGCGTTTCAGAGCACTCCTTGTTGGAGGAAGATCCTCACTGAAGGAACCTCCTTGCTTTGGAAAGCTCCTCATTACAGGAAGCTACATTTTTCAGGGACCTCCTCACTGAAGGAACCTCATCTTAGGAAACTCCTTGTTTTGGGAAGCTCCTCAATTGGAGGAACCTTCTTTTCCCATCAGAAATTCCCCCTGGCATTTCTGCTCCCAGGGGAGCCCCCAGCAGGAGGAATCTCACTTGCTTTTCATGCATTTGCAAAACCACAGCGACAACTGTGTGGCAGAACCCTGCATGGATCCCACCACACAGTCCGTGAGTGGCACTCTCCATCTCTGATTTACCCCTGGATAATTAACAACAGCCTTAATTAGCTCGGGGAGGAGGAGAAGAACAAGGCAAGGAGATGGCAGCTCATGGGGTGCTGGGAAGGAACTCACCGATGATGTGCGCCGTGACGGACTGAAGGGCAGGTATGAACACGCGGTAGAACAAGAAGAGACTGAGCTGGGGGAAGAGGAAGTTTTGGTGCTGCTGGGTCAGGTTTTGGGCTGCTGCAACCAGACCCTCTACCCGTGGGGATCCAGGAACACCCCAGGACTGGCACGTAAACCCACCCCAAATCTACAACTGAGCACATTCCCTTTAACATTCCTGGGCCAATTCCTCTTTCTCTGCCTAATGGGAAAATGAAGCTGGTGATTTATGAGGATCGGCCTCACGGCAAGGTCAGAGCTGAGGAATCAATATTCAACTTGGTGAAGCAATATCCTGCACAGAGCTGTCTCAAAGCAGCTTGAGTTCAACATGTGGGCTTTCCCAAGCAGGTCTATATTCCAGTTCCCTTAAAATACAGTGGTGGGACTGGGAATATGGCAGCTGGCACAGGTCCCTGCAGCCCAGCTGATGGCTCACCACCAAAGGTGCACAAGGGTTGGTTTCCACAGAGGGGTTTAACACAGTAAGAACAAAATTCCCACGTACCCAGAACACGCCTCCATTCCAGGCACAACACTGAAATATCCGGCTCACTATCCGGGGTTCACTGCGGAGCAACGGGAGAGAGACACATTTAGTAATACCCTGTATCCATGCTGGAATGGAAGAGAAGCAGAGCTTTCCTCCTGAGTTTTAAGCATTTACAGGG